TGTTGTTTTGTTTTTGTTTTTTTTGTTTGGTGGCTTTGCTGTTTTTTTTTCTTTTTTTTTTTATCTATTCTCCTCTCATACCTCCCTCTGCCTGACTCTGGCTTTCTTTTTTTCTTGTTTGTTTTTTTCTTTTTTTTTTTTTCATTTTTTTTTATTGCTACTCTTTCATTCTTCTTCTATTTTTACCTTTTTATTTTTTTATTTTTCTTTTCTTTTTTTTTTTTTTTCTTTCTTCTTTTCTTTTTTTCTTTTTTTGTTTCTTTTTTTTTTTTATTTTTTTTTTTATTTTTCCTCTTTTTTTTTTTTATTTTTTTTTTATATCTTTTTTTTATTTTCTTTTTATTTTCTTCTCCGTTGGTGTTGATGTCGATGGCGGCGTGGGTTGCGGGGATGGAGGTGGGGAGGGGGTTCGTCATTTTGGTGGTGATGGGGGTGGTGTGTAAGTCATCAAGGTTGGTGGTGGTGTATAAGTGGTATTGATGTGAGTGACCCGAGCCGTGAACGAGTTGTAAGGGCCAGGTGATGATGAAGAGTGTTGATTCACATTGTCTAGTATATTCGAGGGCGCAAGTACCTACCTACTTATATAGCTTTCACCTTTCCCGTGTCCGTCTAAATCCTGACTTTTATTGGCGACAATATTATAAATCTTGGGGTCGGCTTGGACGACAGTGAACCCCTCGGTGGGGCAACTTGGGCTTCCTCTCAAGTTTTGTAAGCTAAACCCATTATTAAGCTTGCGACTGTCTCAGTCTCATGATGTAAGTCGCAAAATGATTGGGAATACACGACGATCCCTTTGCGGAACAGATGCCGCTGGCTTCATCTGGAACAGTGAAGTCAACTCATCACCTGATTGTGCTTTTCTGGTGGTGATCTCCATGCCCGAATGGTTGAACCCCCACGACAGTGCGGGCATTGGTAGCGTTTTAACCTTTTGTTACCCGATCGAGGGTATGATGTCGCAGGACCTAGCAGCGCATCGCATATCTGGTGTCGTTCATCTGATAGCTTGATAGCTTACGATAGTCAGGCCATCGGGCGAGGGCAGGGTTCTTGAGCCAGGGTGGAAACGACGAACGACCTCAGGAATAACAGGAGGCGGCGTGTGTTATTGCAGGCCCAGCTGCAGCCTGCACTTTCCCTGCAGCAAGCTGCACTTATCAAGCAAATGGACTCCACAGTACCGGGACTTACAGTGTGAGATATACGGTGTTACTGTCTTGCCAGAGGCTTTAACAATGGTATTTTCGGTAGAACTTCCATGTCTCTATGCGCAAAATCATATGTAAGGATCATTATGCATAAGCTACTGAAAGGTTTAGGGCCAGTTTAGCGAGTTGGTTGAAGTTGACTGAAACTTGTAATTATGCCTGCCAAATAACCCATTTACCCCAGCCTGCATTGAGGTGTCTATCGTGACCATTCGCACGGTGCCTTTTCGTCCCTCCCAAGATTACATGCGGGAGCTTCTCCGCTTTGGGATGCAGCGGCGCGGCAACAACATACATCCCAGTCAAAAGAACACCGAGAGAAGCACCTTCCCCTCGACGCCCTTCGATGTTGCGAGCACTGCAATGTCGCCCTCAACACGGCCCAGTTTGACCCCAGACTGATACTGACCTCAAATTCGAACTGTAACGGTAACATAGCCCTCTAAGTTCGACAAACTCGAACAAGCGCATCATCTTCAACAAACCCGCGCCTTCAACACCCCCACCACCACCCATCATGAGATCGCAAAGGCGTTTTCGTGTCATCACCTATCTGGTGTTGTCCGCTATCGTCATGCTGATATTCTTACACAACCGCCAATCCAGCGAGCCGGGCTCGCGGTCGCTGCACGACTTCTACTCCAAGACCGTAAACGCCATGGATAAGCATCATGGGGGCAGTGGCGATGGCGGCGGAACTGGCAGTTCTGCCGGCCAAAAGGTCATTGCCGACCACGACGTCAACGGGGATGGGATTGTCGACGAGGAGGACCGTATCCAGGCCAAGCAGATGGCCGACCGTCTGCGGAAAGCCGAGCAAGAAGCGAAAGAAAACGCGAAGGCCAAGGGACCCAACAAACCCGAGTCGCCTGCACAAGTCGTCGGTGTGGGGAGTTCGGCAAGTGGCCAGGAAAAGCCTGCGCCGGAAGGGAAGGGCAAAACGCAACCCGAGGAATCCGAAGAGGACCATGAAGTGGAGGGCGTGCTCAACACAATCTTGAAACAGTCTCCGCGTATGTGTCCCTCTCGCTGCCCCAACCATGTGCCGAATAAGTATGGTTGCTGACTTACTCTCCCCCCAGTCATCATCTTTTCCAAATCATACTGCCCCTATTCCAAGATGGCCAAGGGTGTTCTCCTCGACAAGTACATCATCGAGCCCACGCCGTTCGTGGTTGAGCTAGACCAACATCCGCTGGGGGCGAAAATCCAGGCCAAGCTGGGAGAGATGACGGGCCGGCGGACGGTGCCGAATATCATGATTTACGGGCAGAGCATTGGCGGTGGTGATGACATCTCCGAGATGGACAGGGAAAGAACACTGGCCGACAAGATCGCCTCGCTCGGGCAATCCAAGATCAACGTGTCGCTGCGCTTCGTACAGAGTGCCCAAAAGGCCACCTAGGCTTGGACGCTAGCTTGGCTCCGATGTCCCTCATCAAGTTTGCGCCGGCATTGTCCCCAGGTAGCTGCGGCACAGGCTTTGTACCGAGACCTCGTGCTTGTGTGGGGGGTGGTTAGGCGTGGCGCGGGGTTGGTGCCCACGAGCCTGAGCCCGAGGCCTTCTGCCTAGGAGAGACATAATTGCAACGCCCAAGAAGCAAGTATGTCTCAAGAATTGGCCATGAACCGAGACGGCTCAGGACCACTCAAAACCAGCGCTCTTCCCCCGAGATAGGCTACCGACAGGATCTTGCGGACAGTGCATGGCTAGGGTCGGTGGGCAGGCTAGCAGATATCTCCATGGATCACGGCGGTTGCAATAAGATGCCACCACTGTGCTGGGTCATCCTCGGGCGGGTCGGGCAACATGGCATGGCCCGGAATAATATGCATATCCCGCCCGAAGGACGATATTCGGCTTGTTTGGACAAACCTGCCATACACGATGGGTCTACCACCGGCGTCTCATGTGACCTTGATCCTGGATGTTGGGCACGGGGGTGGGGGGGTGGGGGGGGGG